AGGAGGAAACCAGAAAGGCTGTATTTTTAATCAGCTCAGTCTTTCCCTGGTGAAAGCACCTGAAATTATAGAAATACTTATAAAATATTTGCTAAGTAAAAATAAGGCAATATTTTCCATGGATTAAATTGGCCATATAAAATAATTGTCCACAGAGCTGGCAAATCCTTCTCTGGGGTTGTGTGTTATTTTCCTCAACTTTCCTTGAGGGAAAACTGTCACTGTCCTTTACATTTGTCATACCCTTCAGGATAGAAATGCCACGTCAATGAAGTGATTTCACATTGCTAAATATGAGAGACTTCATTGCAGAATTTTTGTAAAGTGGTAAAAATTACAAACACATATATGTTTACTAGTTGGGAATTAGTAAAATTATGGTGCATCCATATGATCCTGATAATGGAGAGAATATTTAGTTAAATCAGAAAATTTTCATGAACTGAACATGAATATGATCCAATTTTGGTTTGAAAAATACTTTATGTACATTGAAAAGCATTTAAAATTCTAGAAACACATTCACAAAAATAGTCAAATCAATGATGGTTCTCTCTGAGGGGTACAGGATGAACTTAATTGTGTTTTTTGCTTTTGTTTGTCATTTTCACATTTCCTTTCATGACCATGTGTTGCTTCAGAAACCTGAAAAACATAAAAGTGCTCTTTTACCAGCTAAGGAAAGGGGATGGCTGGGTAAAGGCCGGCATTTCCCCGTCGCTCACAGGAGGAAGGGCAGACTCCCTTTCCCGGCCTGGCCCTCCTACGGCTCCAGCCTGGTCTCTCACTGTGCTCCCACCAGCTCCTGCAACTGTGGCCACACACACAGGCCTCCAGGCTTTTTGCCATTTGCCTTTTATCATGGAGCTTTAATATAGTCGATTATATTGTCTTTGCAATTATTCACCCCTACTCCCTTCCCTGTAAGAGGATTATATTTTTGCCACCGCTGGGTATCTTGCTGTGTCCCCAGTGTTGGGGACCAGACATCCCTGTCCCGTTAGCTTTGGGTTTTGGCCTTGGTCTCTACTCAGGTTTCCATGGCCCTTCTTTTGGATTTGGAGACTGTTCGGAGCTCACTGTCATCAAAAGCTATGTAAGCAGCCATGGCTGGTGGGGTTCAATGGATTGAGTTCTGGCCTGAAAACCAAAGGGTCACCGGTTCGATTCCCAGTCAGGGCACATGCCTGGGTTGCAGGCCAGGTCCCCAGTTGTGGGTGCGTGAGAGGCAACCACGAATTGGTGTTTTCTCCCGCTCTTTCTCCCTCCCTTCTCCTCTGTCTAAATATATATAAATAAATAAATATCTTTAAAAAAAAAGAACGTAAGAAGACACACGGCTATATCCAAGCAGAAGCTTTCAGAGTCATGGAAAGTTTCTACCAATGCTCTTGACCTTTCTTTCTGCCACCAGAATAACATGTCCCACACAGGGACTCAGTCCATGACTGAGAAGCAGAATCATAGCCCAAGCAGAGTTGTGGTCAGTCTACAGCCTACCTGTGACATAAGTGATTAATAAACCTTCACAGAGTAAGCCAACTGAGATTCGGAGGTCATTTGTTACTGCAACCAAACTGACTAATACACTTGGCGTTTCTTTATCGGGAATATTCTGACCAGCCACAGAGTCAACCTCATCTCTTCATTCACATCCTAGCTCTAGACCATCCCAGGTCAAGTACCTCTTCATACACTGTCTTGGCACCAGGTACTGCCTCTTCTTAACACTTATAACTTCATAGTTTTTGTGTGATTCTTTCAACAAGTACCTGGTATGGCATGGACTCCTTTCAGAGCACAGATAGTTGCTGTCCATCTACCCACGGTTCCCAGCACCTAGCACAGCTGTTGGCACACAGGAAATCCTAGTAAAAATAGTTCAATGAATACCTAATGGGAAGCATGGATAAAGTAGTAAAGACCCTTGAATATGGAGTTGAGAAGCATCAGTCAAATGAAGCAAATATTTGGAAGACATTTTTGGTCTCCAAGTGAGAAAACATTATGAGTCTTTTATAGTGCAAATAAATACGTGGTAACCATGTTCAGGATCTCCTGAATAAAAATACTGAAGCACCATCACTGTTTAAAGCACTTGCACCTATTAGTGCTGGCATCATATCAGCTTGGTAACAGCCCTGTAATGTAAGTATTGGGTTTGCCAAAAAGTCCATTATATTTTTTTCTGTAAAATAAAAGACACATTTTCATTTTCACCGATAATTGTATTGGTTTGGATATTCTGAGTATGTTGGCTATCTCCTGCTACTGACTTCTAGTGGGTAGCGGCCAGGGCTGCTGCTAAACATCTTCCAGTGCATGAGACAGCCCCACAGGAAAGAATTATTTGGCCAAAATGTCAATAGTACCAAGAAATTTCAGAAACCACTTTTGACATGTTCGATCCGTTACAGCACCTTCTCCATATACTGCACAAATCTTTTTTTGCATTTCAGTTGTGTTTTTACCTTTCTTGAAATAATAAAGCATAATACACCAAAAATGTTGCATATCTTCTTCCATCTTCAATATGAAAATGGCTACACAAAAATTCCCCAATTTTGATAAGTTTTCTTTAAGTGCACACCGAGATGAAAGCTGTCACAATACATCTAACAAAATTGTTTTGAATGAATTTAAAGACAACTAAGCACTACTAATGCCATTGTGTGGGGGAAAACTAAACAAGCTTTTTGGCCAACCCAGTAGTATTGCTGTCCAGGAGGGGAGGTCGGCCCTTTGCCTCAAACCACGTGGCTGTGAGCTGGTGGAGACAAGGCTTGAATCCAAACAGTCGGTGCCAGAGTCCGTGTTGTAACCACTGGACTGTGCTGCCATTCATTCGATCTGAAAGCTCTGAGTGCCGGGAAAGTTGTGGAGCTGTACTGGCAAGGCGAGAGCACATTTCTGTTTAGTTTCCCTTTCAGATCGCACGGGGCCACCTGAGTTACCGGCGGGGTGCGGGCGGGCGGCTCCAAAAGAGCGTTTCCCCAGGGCAAACCGCGCACACACTGTCCCACACCGCTCTCGCCGTCCGACTCCTGTTCAGTGCCCTCTGTCCAATTCACTGGTAGGACCACGCCAATGACAATAACCTCGATAACCTTTTGGTCCTCTTCACACCCTTGCTGTGCCTATCACAAGACCCTGCTCATGTTCAGTGCTTAGTAAATGTGTTTTGAATCGAATGGGTCTTGTAGTTCTTGCATTATGATTAGGTCATGGACATGGACGGTCATGAAATCTAGTTGACTTTATAATAACGCCATTTGGGGGAGCAGGTGGGACCTGAGAATCTCATTCTAGACTAAACCTGTTTCAAGAAATCAGGAACTTGAACACAGGTTGCCTCCACCATGGGGCAAGGAGAGGGACCGATGGTGGGACCCACGCTCCCAGGTTCCTCTCTGGCCACAGTGGCACGAAGGGAGAGAGTAAGCCTGGGGAGGGGCTGGCGTGGGCAGGACGCATTTCGGAGCAGAGTGTAGGGGTGGCACCGGTGTGAGGTCTAGGCCTTGGGTGGGAGAAAGGTGGGACTCAGGCTCACTGCCTTTGCTGATGTGATAACAAAGGGCTCGATGACATCATTCCAAAACCCCTTAGAGCTGAACTATCTGTGAGCCTAACAGGTCCTCTTACAAAAGTCATTTGGGAGTTAAACGGAAGAGAAAGACACTGCAGTAAGCTGGAAAACTCCTGAAGGCAGTTTTCCTTCTTTAATACCCCAACTAGAAGAGCCAGTTGGGAACAATGGAGACGGGAGCTGGTCTTCAGCTGAGTTTTAAAGGCACCAAGAAATGCCAGTTGAGCATAGAGACTACGGACCTCTTCTAGGGTCGTATTCCTTTAAAGAAAGGGTCCCCACCCTCTGGGCCACAGACCAGTACTGGTCAGGGCCTGTTAGGCATGGGCTGCACAGCAGAAGGTGAGCTTGAATGTAATGCTTGATTCATCCCAAAACCATCCTCCCCGACCCCCGGTCCCATGCAAAAACTGTCTTCCATGAAACTGGTCCTGGTGCCAAAAAGGTTGGAGACCAATGCCTTAAAGTAAAGGTGCCAGACCACACACATTGGAACCACCTGGGGCATCTTAAAATACGGATTCCTGAGCCCTTATGGAATCTGAGAATTTTATGTAGCAATCTGCATCTTTAATATCTCACATAATTCCTTTGAATCCTGAAATCTGGAAATCTCTGAGCTGGAGAAAGATAATGCTAAATTGCTAGGATAGGGAAAGAAAACCCCAATGCTTTGATTTGGGACCTAAACCATTGTCCTTTTGCAAGGATGATTAACTCTTTAAGACCACCTGTGGGTTTAGCCATTAGCTGGGATGGGGAAGTGCCTCTTAATAACAGACATGGAGGTCGTGGCTAAACCTCCCTTGCTGATCCCCCAGCACCTCCCAGAGGAAGAAATGGGATCTCCTTTCAGCCTGGTAGGCAGATTGCAACATGTCTCCAGTTTTCCCCCTCATCTTCCTATTGAGAATGAAAGTAGCTGCTCCATCCGTTGTAAGAAAAGCTGGGGCCCCTGAAGGAAGGGTGGCCAGGTCTCAGGCAGAGATGTAGCCCCTTGGCCTGGACCGAGGTCACCCTGTGAAGGAGCTTGGCAGAATTCCCATGTCCTGACACTTGGCCTTCAAAATCTTACAGTCGTCAAGTTAATCACCAGAAAATGAATATTCTCCATTTTTCCACAGCTTGGGCCAAGGTCCCAAGTCCTGGCTCTAATGAACCCAGAGGGTCTCTCTCAAAATAAACTGGGGTGGGGAGGGCAGGCCCACCACCCGCCCTCTAACAGCCCAGCAGCCTCTCTGGGGTTAGCTAGGCCCCAGGGCCGGTTAGGCCAGTGCCGCCACGGAGCCTCAGAAGGAAGAGGAGGAGGAGCCCAGGAGCCTTGGGCAGGGCGGGGCTCAGCAGGCCAGGAGAGGAGGAAACGGGGCGGAGGCCTGTTGAGCAGGTGTGTGATATTGAAGGCTGGGCTCTAAAAGGGGCTGGGGCTGCCTGCTCAGACCAGTGATGACAGGGGAGCTCCCACTGGCTGTTCCTCCTCTCTGATGGGGTAACTGGAGGCGGTGGCAACCCAGCCTCCCTCCCTAGTGGCCCCACCAGAATGAAAACACCCAAGGAGTGTTGACTCCTCCAGCAGAGCTCCCGAGTCTGCACCCAGGAGGAGGTAAGCGCCCTGCTTGATGCTAAGACTAGATGGTGGTCTTTTTTCCTCAGCTCTCATCGCTTGTTGGCCTGGCTCAGGGGTGCTACTTCAAAGGGAGCCTCTGAGGTTGCCCCTGGTCTCCTCCTCAGTATCCTGGGTCCTGGGGGCTGTGGCTGTCTACCACCAGCCACGAGCAGCAACAGGCTTCTGGGGAACCTCATTCCTCTGTTTATTTGGGGAGTGTTCTGCTCATGCAGGAGGGCCATGTATGTGCAGTTGACTGTGTTACAAGAGCAGCTGCGCGTGGTGATGGCGATCGCTCTACGTGGTCTCAGTTTCTTCCAGTCGCTGATGAGCGGGCGGCCCTGGCCTTTGCTGCCTGTTGTGTATAATGAATGACCTGCATGGAGAACCCATAATATCCAAGCACTGGTCACCACCTGTACTATTGCAGGGTGTGTTTCCGAAAGCTTGCAAACCCATTGCACAGGATTTTGACAGAAGTAGGTGTGTGTGTGAGGGAGAGAGAGTGAATGCAGAACTGGGTTTTTGACGATGTTGACTCGTGAAAATGGCAATGGTGAGAGGTTATGGGAAGCTTATGATTTGCAAAGCACGAGGGTGAAACACCACCTCTCGTTGCGAGCCCGTGAGGCAGGTGTCGGCAATGTGTGTGATGACGGGTGAGGACGCCGAGGCTCAGGGAGGCGAGCTGAGCCGGTGCTCCTGCTGCCGTGGTCAGGCACTGATTTAGACCCTGGTGTCTACTTCTCAGGCCTCAGTGGCCCCTGCTTGTGGATTTGGAGAGTGCTGAGAGCCCACCTTCGGCAGTATGTTATCTACATGGCCTGTGCCAGAGGCAGTCAGCAGAGCAAAGAGCTAGTTGGCAAAACATGGAAGCTGGCAATGGGAGGGGAAAGGGAACGTGTTTGAGAGCCGGACACTGGGCCATGTAGAATTGAACCAAACCCCCAAATGGCTTACCAGGCCTCTCACGTCTCCAACCCTCGCACACTCCCCAGCCTCGCCTCAGTTTGGGCTGCCTCTGTTCTTTTCCTCCTTGTGGCCTGTGTACCTGGTCTTCCCTCTGCGGGGAACACCTTCCCCTGGGCTTTTCCTGTATTTGGCTACCTGTCTTCAGTCAGGTTGCAGCACCAATGTTGCCTGTTCAGGAGGGCTTCCTAGACCACGGAATCTAATACGGACCCCCTCCACCACCACTACCACCCCATTATATTCCCACACAGTGTTCATTATTTTCATAGTGCTAGTGACAACCTGAATTTCTGTCTCCTTTGTAAGTTCCACGAGGGTAGGAACCTTCCATGTTTTCCACCTGCAGGACACCCTTGGGTCCCCAGGTGTTAGCAGATTTCCCAATAATGGCGGGGGCTCAGTCAATACTTGGCGTGTGGATGAATGATAAAAGGGGTCAGGAGAGGTCATGACCACCAGTTCACCTCCTTTCATCCAACCCCTCCCCTCAGTCTCCCTTGAGAAAGCAAACATCTTGTTCTAGAATCTGAACTAAAGAGCACCTGAGTTTTCAGGTGCTCAAGGGGCAAATTGTTTCATTCTTGGGGTAATGTAGGGAAAAGGGCTGAGTGACATCAAATGGACTTATTTTCCTAAGAAACAGCAGGCTGTGTAAGATAAAGCTGTCTCTGCCTGGAACTCACCCCAGCATGTTCTTCTGGAGACTGAACCTGGTCCTGATCGTGTTTATCCTTAGTGGAGTGGATCGATAACAGCTGCCCTCTAAAGCGTGCGAGGTTGTGAGGTACACGTGTGATACCAGCCCTTTGCAAAGTACAGGCACTTCACAGATGTTGCATATTTTTACAAATTGAATGCAAGCCCCTCCACCCACAAAAAGATTGTGACTCACTTGATTGTGATACTCGCTTTATTGTGATACTCCCTGTATTGTGTTGGTCTGGACCTGAAGAAGCGCAGTGTCTCCAAGATTTGGTGTGGCAGTGATGTGGAAACCGAGCAATTTGTCTCCGGCCCCCAAGCAGGGGGCCCTGCAAGCCATGAGGAGCAGAGAATACACAGGGAGGTGTGTTTGTTTTGGAGAATTTCACTTGCAGAAAATCCACCATTTCCAAAGAAGTCTATCAGAGGAAGAGACTTCTCTGCAGGGGTCCTTTTCCCAGGCAGCTGCCTACCTCAAGAATCAACTTAGACACTTTAATTAACACTCAGCCGCTTCGCTTTGCAAGCGAGGAGCGTTAAAATCCAGCCTAGCGATGCCTCTTCCTTGGCGAGCATGCAGCATTTGGCAGTATTTTACAAGCTGGTGGTTTTATGGGTCCCTTCCTGCACTTATGTATTCTTCACTGTAATGTGTGTGGAACCCTTCTGGCATCAGCCTGGCCCTGTTTGATTTAAGAGACATCTGAATTTTATATCTTCTCCTCAGTTGTTCTGTGATCCTTTTAAACAAAAAAAATTTAAGGCACTCCTTATCTGTTCTATTCTCTTGTGCTGTTCTAGATTGTTTTTTAAATGCCTGTTCTGAAAGAAATATATTTTGAATCAGGAGCCAAGCCACAGAGTTCTAATGGTTTTCTGGGGAGGAAGGGGCTCATAAGCGAAGTCATATTATGGAAATAGAATTACATTAAGTAATTCTGGAGACGTGGGCTTGCATTCAGCCATGCTTCTCAGTAACCCTCTTGCAAACTCTCTGGGCTATGCTGGAGATAATAACAATATTGACGGTGGACTTTTAATGTGAACTTGCTAAGTGCTCTTAGGACTCCTTGGATGATCTCATTTAATGTTCATGCTGACTCTCTGCATTTTTGGAAATAAGGAATGTGAGACTCAGAAGGTATGAGGCATCCAGGCAGTGAGGGATGAAACCCAGTTTTAACACGTGAGGATTGACTGCTTACCTCCAGTGCCCTTCGAAGAAAATGACAAAATATTTCCATAAAGAGAGCAAAATTGTGCATCTTGCCAAAAAGGAGTGTGAATAGGCCAGAGCATACACTGGATACCTGCCTGAACCCAGAGTGTTTTAGAAGCTTAAAATCTGTAGAACTGGCAGCTACTTGATGCTCTGCTAGGGACTAACAAAATGACAATGACAAGTCAGTATTAACTACTTCTTCATACTCGGCACTGGTAGAAGCACTTCCTTGTATTAGTTACACACAAGAGACCACAGTTCATCACAATGGTGAAAGGCACGCGCTTATAGTTCAGAGGACCTGGCTCTGCCAGTTGCTAGCTGGCAAACCTTGGACAAGTTTCTCAACCACTCTGTTTGATATTCCCCATCTACAAATGTGACTATTCTCAAACTTTTCTCCTAATGCTACTGCGAGCATTGTTTAAGTGAATCTATAAAATGCTGAAACAGCGCTTGGTGTGTCACGTTCTCTCAAATGTTCGCTGCCCCTGCTCCATTTCCCTGACCCCTCTACAAGTGAGGGCCTCTCTCTGCCATCCTGCCAATGCAGAAACTGACGAAAAGTCAGATCACACGGCTAGACTCGGGACTTGAACTTCCAGCTGAGTTCACCCAGAGCCTTCTTTCTTCTATGTCATATTTTCTCAATAAATTCTCTAGGAAACACAAATCGATGGGAGCTGGTACTCTAAGACCCAAGCTACTTTCTCTCCACACGTGTTCCCAAATGTACTTGCCTCCTGACATCTTTTGGCTGCTGAGTAAAGTGTCTTGTTGACAACGACTTACGTCTCTAGGATATCAGCAAGGCAGCCAGAACTTTCTCCTCCATTCAGGATTCTCTCTGTGGGCCAGCAACCACTCTGCCCTGCAGGTGTGGAGTCTGCCAGTCAAAAGCAATCCACGGCACTACTGTTCCTCCAGATCCCTGACCTCACTGTCCAGGCGCGTCTTCCAGCTCTGTGATGACATTGTCCTGTGCTGGCTTCACTCTGCTTGTAGCAAGTCTCGGAAGTGAGCATCCGTGTCGGGATAAGGGACCAGAAGGAAGTGTCCCCGGGCCTGTCCTGAGCTGCTCAAAGGCAGAGGCGAGCACTTGCGGTCTTTTGACCACGGTGCCCAGTTGGGTACTGGAGTTATTTTTCCGGGCTCATTCCCCCCTGGGTGGACACTTGCTTATGCCAGGACTGCAGCCCGCAATGGAAGACCACCATGACCCCATCATCCCACTGCTACCTGCTCTGAGTCTGCATGACTCTGATATGCCTCTCAGATAATGACAGTAATTAATAATTAACAACTTCCTCTTACTGAGTACTGGCTACGCGTGAGTTTATTTAACGAGTTCATGTAATCCTCACAGAACAACACTCTCAAGTAGGTTCTTCCTGTTTTAGGGAAGAGGAGGGTGACATTTGGGAGGCTACACACTCGGCTGGGGTCCTCCACTGAAAGTGGAACACCACGTGGTCTTCACCTCTGTGCTCAACTGCCCCACACTCCTCCGGCCTGAATCACACTGTTTGAGATGGTTTGATAACACATTCCTGATTAGCTGTGGAAAAACCCGTCCAGCTGGGCCAGCCCACAGGGGATGTGGGCAAACCTGCCTCACCCGGTTTCCCTCCCCGACGTGGGCGGTGAGCCTGTTTGCTTTCTTTTCGCTGCATCATATCCAGACACAGCTGAGTCCCTTAACGACTCAGCTTGGCTTCCCCAGCCCGTGGCCCTTTAGTTGAGGAATATCTCGGCAGGTGAGCATGAGGGTGGCGTTTCTGTCTCTCCAAGGCGTCCTCGGTTCAACTTTCACCCTTGTCAACAGCAACCCTTCCACATTTCTCCAGTTATTCTTTCCTTCCTTGTTCTCTTTTCAGCCTGGTTTAAGAGCAAGCCAGTCTGATCACAGATCAGAAAGCACATTTCCAGCGCTGTGAGATAATTCAGTCATTGCCATCTTTGCCTGAGGGCTGGCCTGTGAATTCTGTCACTTACAAAAGCAGACAAAATCTCGGTCTGCTTCATGGGCGTGTATCAAGAAAGTGCCGTCCCTCCTAGGGGGTCACCAATGCAGACAGGCTGTCCCCAGCAGGGAATGCAA